TTTTTTTTTTTTTTTTTTTTTTTTTGATTTTACAGATGTAAATTATTTTTAAAGATTGAAACGATTTTTCGTAAAATGTATCGATAAAAGTACTTCATTGTATTATATAAAATTTCCTACATTTTTTACTTTGACAGAATCTCTGACAGAAATCTTACGTTTTAATTGCCTAGGTAGTTCTAGTTAAAAACAATTGTTTTTAATATCCCATACATTTTTTCTTACTGATCTATTCGTATCAAGAGGGCGCAAAGTTTGGTAAAAATAATATAATAACTTTGCAGGAGTACTTCATGGCGGACAGATCGATGCGAGTGGCACCGGTCGCAATTGGTTTAATGGTTTCGTATCTATCTGCGGTCAGTTTATTGGGAGTGAGTTCAGAAACCTACGTGTACGGCACCCAGTACGCAGTGATCAATATTTCTTACGGAATTGCTACTCCATTCGTTGCTTACTTGTACATGCCGCTGTTTTTCAAGCTTGGGCATGCCAGTGCTTTTGAGGTAACAGAAAAGATTCAATTAGATAATTAGAAAGGAATTAGAATCGTTAAAAACAGTGTTGCATGCAAACTTTCGTGCTACGTGAGTGCAGTCAGTCAGTCTCTATCAGAATCTTAGTACATTGTTCAATGATGCGACTGAGAAAACACAGATATACAGTGTAAGTCACGTAACATGCACACCTGAAATAACTTTTAAATTACACGTTTAACGAACGAATACGCTCAGACGTAAATCCCATAAATTGGCATTATCATGATTGGTAAATGTTGCTTCGTCCATAAATAATATATTTTCTAAAAAAACTTTCATTAATACTTACTTGCTGCAAAAACTATTCAGCAAACTGTACCAAGGTAGTTTAATATCTTTTTACTTGGAATTTAAATTCCAATTAAAAGATGAAATTTTTGCCGCCATATTTTGCCTCCCTTAAAAACCATGCAACTTTTTGTATTAAACAATTTTTCATTAAACGCATAATTTAAAAGTTCATATCACAGGTGTGCAAGTTACGTGAACCACCCTGTATATCTGAATATAGATAAAGAATTGTAATAACATGTATGAGAGAATTGTAAAATAACACAGTGTGAGATGAAGCTCGGTATTGTACACGGAGGAATGTAAGAAATAGATTTGCAACGAACAAGCGATGCGTCGTCGTTCGAAAATTAGCTCTTGTCATCGGAATGCACGAAACGCAGAGATTTCCACGACGCAAATGACAGAACGCAAACAAGCACACCGAATTTATTAAACACATCTATCCCCCGCGTTTAAATTAACAATTCGGAATTAACTCTTTGGAATTTTGGAATTTTTTCGATTCGACGAGATAACGTAAGATTAAACACCGCGAATTTTAGTGATGTGACACTAAAATTAGGTCAACGACA